TTAATTGGAGTCACTATAGTGTCGGTTAATACGCTAGGTGATGTGATGGAGTGAGATCGCTACACGAAACTAAAATCAGTAGGAATAAACGCCAAAAAAAGTTCGAGTTTATTCCTGTTACGTATCACTTCTTACATGAATGTTCAGTGCCTTCATATTCTATTTGACATAGGTCATCATATAATCCACAATGTGACGAACGATTGGTGTAGACGCGCGATGAATGCTGAGCGACGATAGCTACAGTTAACGAAACATAAATAATTAGCTTAAATATTCGAATCGTTGTCCGCTAGTCCGCTTGCACCCTCTGTACGTACGTGTAATTGATTGAGATACAATTCACTTGTCGGTACCGTTAGTGTGTAAATTGGCGTAAACTAAAATAAGCTATATGAGCAGGTGCCTTTTTACAATGCATCAGCGCTTAGAGGACGAATATGCTACAAATATAGCATGATTAATTGTCAGTAGATTGTGCTGACGTTATATGTAGTATGAGAGCACCACTTATTAAATTAGTTGGTGATAGCAATATCTCCAACCCTGTCACTGACCATAGTGCGCTTTAATCTTAAGCTGACAAAGGGACTATACAGATGAACATCAACGTAGCTACTAGTCGAAGCAGATACCTGTTTATGACCACAATGCTCCATAATCATCAACCTCTTGATCGGCGTAGATCTACTTCGTGTTTCTTAATCGTCCACCTGATTCTTTCCACTAGCACGCGTGCAGGATCCGTTAGATTTTAGTACAAACTCCGCACTTATGCCATCGATACTCTTTTTTTTCGCTGAGTTCAGTTCACCATTGAAATTTTTACACAATTGTAACGGAGTGAACTTGTTACATAAAACTGAGACGACTGTATCATTTTTAAATAAGACTAATTTGAATATATTGAATTAACGTTACTCGATAAGAGCTGATATAGGCGAAATTTTACCTCCCCCCGAGGGTGATATTCTTGGTTGATTCACTTCTTGGTTGATGTAGAAGCTACTTTAACCTAATTATTCGCCTGCTATACGCGCGGAATGTGTGGTGAGCAAGAAAGTCACGTTGGAGATTGTATTTTTCTATATGTAGATAAATATATCATTAGTTTAGTAAATAACCTAACTAAATTAAATACATTTCTACTTTTCCGAAATCAGAGCTTCCGAGTTCTTTTTTCTTTCGAGCTTCCTCACGCCACGTGTACGTGATGTCGGGACTACTCAGCCTTGTTTTTGATTAACACAAGGTATATCCAGTCATCTGGTAAGAGCGTGCCCCGTTTCACTGATTGGGCACGAGGTGTTTTTAGACTGCGCTATCTCACATCTGACATGAAACAATATCGCCAAGGTGACAGTTACACATTATTTCAATGTCAAACTATAAGCTCCGAATTATACGAAACTGGCGTGGCGTCGCAACAAAACGATTAATACTAGTGTCATGTTATTTTATTGAAGCGTCAACGCACTTTTTCAACTTGAAAGTGATGTCGACGGAATGGATCGTACGGTATATGAAACAAAGTTACAAAAATTGTTTGATGACAATATAAATCGACGTGAACGAAAGATCCCAGGCATGTGTGTATACGCTCGTTTTTTCGCATCATTGTACCATGTTTGTTCATCTTGAAGTGCCTTTTTCAACGGTATAATTATAACTCGAAGCTTGTGTAAATTGGTGTCTTGTATGCATTATTTATATTCGTTTTTATTCAGTGCTATTTTCATCTCCAATAAATAATATGAGGCGGTGAAATCGACAAGTATAAGCTACATTTCGCATTTCTATCTAGTATGAAATGGGTGGCTACAGAGACTATACCTTGATCCATACTTCGGATAAGCACTTGTAAATTATTGTAGGAACAGAGTTATATACGAGTTAGTACAGCCGCTGCGAACTGAAAACGCTACCGCGTATTGCAATCGTTAAGTTCGAATACTGTCAAAGATGATATCGAATGGTCGCGAAAATTGACGTGTATCACACCGTAACATTTGCCGTCTAGGCAATGCTATGTCAGCATTGATGCTGGCTAATTATAGAGTAGCATGGCTTGTATTCATGTCCGCGTCTTATCCGCGGTATGAGTCACCCTGTCAAGATGCCGCGGCTTACTACAACCCGAAGTAAATGCGTGGACAGTACGTACGAAGCGCAATGAATAAGAACACTTGACCGTACAGCAGCTTTTGCGCCTTCTAGATCACAAGTTTTTTCTGACCTCTGCACTGCCGGCGTCGCTGGTAATCTTTTTTTTGTAAAATCCGTCTTCTCCGTGATCTATACACTTCCAAACGTTTCAGACTTGCGACAAAGGAAGTTGAAACCTCTGAACATCTTGACGAGAACACGACAACCAACTTCACGAAGTGTTCAATATCAGAGCAAGACAGATTTATGATCTTAAAGCGCCTGGTACTCGACGAAGTTTACAATCTGCGACGAGCAAGAACGTTTCAGAAATTGCGCGAAAGAGTGATAACAAAGGATTATGCCGTGCTTCGAATATGCCGGAGTTCGTGAAGACTCTTATACGAGTCTTTGGCCTGTAACGGTAACCGATTCCGACTGCCAGCTGAGAAATTTTGTGGACCGGACCGCTCATCGAGTCGACTAGCCTTTGCCATATTACGCTGAGAAAAGTAAAGAGTCGCACTCTGCAATGTATAGTCGATAGTGGGTTTACCTAGTACATTGATTGTTTGTTTCTTTGAATCAATGAGCTATTCGCGTAGGGGGCAGATGTGTACTCAATCGAGCTCTGCGATGAAGTACATAGGGCACCACTCCTTCTATAGTGATACGGGAAAACATCGCGATGCATAGCTCACTACCTACCACGGTCAATCTTGTGTCTTCCTTGCCGACCCAGAGCATGTTCGCTGCATGTTCGAGGTACGTCTAGCATAGCGGTTTGCTGTGTTTAAAATGGTTCGAGTTATACTGAAGCTCATGATACACTGTACGGTCGATCGTCAATGTTAATGCCTATGAACGGCGCACGAGCCCCACGATGTCGACGAAACAACGGCTTTTGTCGACAGCTTGGATCGACAAGATGTGCTATCACAATGTTATAGCCATCCCGAAACAGCTGACGTTCTGATCTCCAAATCATCAGTCAGAAACGATACGGAGCTAGTGGTTCAGCCCATTCTTGATTTTAATTTGTCTGCAAAGCTTCGCATTACATTTCGTTGTTGTTGGCTCGATTCACAGGATGGCGCTACGGATCCGGGAATATGTAATCCAGAAGCACGCCGTGGTGCAACATTCGTCTTTCATAAGAAGCTCTGTGTGGTAGACTACACTGTTTAGGTGTGGAAGTCTCTGTACGTTGTAGGAGGAGCTAAACTGTATGTCCTTTTCTCACCATGTGCTTCAGGTAGTCGTTCCGGTGACCGGAGTAGTTCCTATATACGAAATGAATTAATCGAAGGGGCGTAGAATGGAGTTCATCTGGTCGACGACACGTGGTATGCTTCCTTCTGTTTCTCCCGATGTTCTCCTCTGCGCTTCTACACTCTCGTGCTGTTGGCTGCAAACACATTTCCACTTGCCCAAGTCTTTCATATTTTGCCCCTGTTCATTCTAGCACTTGCTACATCAAACCAACTAGCCTGCACCAAGCCTGGATCTTAGAACGATCAACTACTTTGGACTGCTATTGATAAGGCTATGCGATCGCCTGATTCCGCTTGCGCTGTAGACTATGATCGTTCTGGCGAGATAGAAGGCGATCTGCTGCTAAGTTTGCTTGATCAGGATGATCCGCTTCACTCCGGGGTGTATATCCGGCACGGAAGAGCAAGTCGTCCGTTTCCATACACTCGATCCAAGACTCGGTGGCGCAAACGCCCTAACGACGAGATAAAGTATCTGCGAGCGCGCGTTATCGAATTGAAAACCCTGAAAAGCAAATTGAGCAATCTAAGCGCTAGTCTGAATCTGCTGGACACTACCCGAGCGGCTGAACGTCGTGATGTTCTACTTGACGTGAAAGAACGGAAACAACAGCTTGATTCTGCGTCGGCAGAAAACGGAAAACTACGAGGAATGGTTACGAGTTGTAGCCTAGTGGCAATGTCGCTTCAAGCGGCGATCGACGAACACACGAGGATGAAGGCACGACAGGTGTATTGTCCTTCATCTGCAGCGGCATCAAACACCTTGGTTCTTGCACTGCTGGATGAAGCGAAAGCGCTGTAGGAATGGTCTTGTCGATCGCAAATGGTGGCTTACGACTGCTTTGATCGCTGTATGCGGGTAAGACTGTTCAAGGCTCTCTGTGTTAGATAGGTACGACCTGTCTTTAATTGTTCTGAAGTTTTGGTCCGCTAATCGGTCGTCGTGGTCGTCCAATAGTAACACTGTGATACGAACTTTGCGCTACTACAGGTGCATGCTACGCGAATGTTGTACTGGTGACCAAACTAAGCTTATGTCCGAGCGTACAGTTGTATGCAAGAGCATCATTTCGCGATGTTTGCAAGACGGCCACGTTGTTGCGAAATCATTGTAGGGGAAACGACGTTCAGACTCCAACAACCTGGTCGTCTGTGACGGAACGGAACTTCTCTGTTACATAGCTGATGGGCACAACAAAAGGTTCAACTGAAACCTGTTCATCATTAGGTTCTACTTCTGCGTTGGGCATTACACCAAGTAGACAGTCGGAATTTTGTGCAGACTCTTGCCACTGAATCGCTTATTGAGTACCAATAACTTGAACGTAGTAAACAGAACTGAAGAAAGAAACCGAAAACAGTGAGCTTGAATCCATGATTGCTGTTACTTTGCCCTCAAGTGCTACGTGTGTCACCACGACAAATGCATCAGCTAGAGACCAAACACCAGCTTGCTTCTCATTGCATCACTATGACCGCATCACGTCCGTACCATCGCGGCTGCGAGTAGCAACTTACGAGACTGTGAATCATATGAACACAAACAAAATGGACGCATTTGTGCAACAACGTGGCCAGTTACTGCACCATTGCTGCTGGGATGCGCGCGATCGAAGGACGGGACCAGCTTGTCAAGTAGATATGGTCGCCGAAACGCTTAGCACCCGAAATAATCGGTATCTGCCCTTGCGAGGCTTCGTACACGTGCCGAATATCACCCGTCTCCAAGTTTACAGAGGCAAACACGCCAAGACGATGGATGAAAAGTACCGTCATCAACGTTGGCAGTAGCGATAGCATTTTGCGCAGTTTGACGCTCTGCTTGATGTAACTGAAGCTTCCACCATCGTCTCGTGACACGAGTCCCACCAACAGCACATCCGTCTCGTTTTCTCCTGCACCCACTTTTTCAATCGAAATGTTGTCTGGTTCACCCGGCAAAAAAGCAAAGTCCTTGATCTGCTGGGTCGCTCGATCAAAACGCACAATCTTGTTCTGGAACATGAGTGCAATCAGTAGCCCAGAGCCCTCTTTATCAAGTGTCAGACCATTTGGGAATCCCAACCCGCTCGCCTCCACGTGCACGCTGACATCCCGTGGATCAAATCGCAGCAAATACCCCGATGGTCGGCGTTCTAAAAAGTCGACCACCACTCGATTGCGCTGGAAGCGACGAGACGACTCGGTCACGTAAATCTCGCCCGTCTCCTGCACGACAGCAAGTCCATTGAGGAAGTTCACGTGCTGATCGCCCACGCGACTGAAGAGCAGCGTGCGCTTCCCATTGGCATCAAAAAGGAACACGCCCTTGTAAGCGTCGGCCACGAGCAGCACAAAGTCTTCTGGAAACAACTGGGCGGCTGGAATCCGCTGGATGAACTTGGCGAAAGGACGCGCAGCAGCAAACGCGAGTCCGAGTGGCCGTCCACAAGTCGGTTCCATGTCCAATGTTCCACATCCAGGAACATCTTGTCCTGTGCGAGAGAAGTTCCGCAGTTCGTTGGCTTCAACGTCAAAGCTCGCGAGACGTCCGTCCGCCAACCCGACGTATGCAGCGCCGTCTGAACTCACGGCCAAGTCTTCTGCACTCAGTGCTACGTTCGTGAACAGGGTCTCCAAGTTGGGCGCTTGGAAGAGCTCCTTGTTGCGCACTAACACCGCTGTCTCGTTGTACCGACTTTCCTGGGCCAACGTACGGAGATCGTAGTCGAAGTCAAGCGGGAGGGGCTCGATTTCACCTGGATACTGGTCAATTGCTGCCGACAGGAGCATGACGAAGAAACACGCAGCGAGTAACCCGCGCGAGAAGAAGTGACTGGGTACGATCAGCGCCATGACGGAAGAAGCGGGGGAGTGAGGAGAGCAAGCGCGGGTGCAAGAAGGAGGGGAGCGAAGATACAATGACTGGCGCTTAGCTTTGTCGATCAGGTGACGATAGGAGATGATATTAATTAACAGTGAGGTACTATAAAAAGTAATAGGTGGGTCTTTTTTCTGGTGTCTTAAATCGTACCGCTCTATGAGCTGCAGCAGGCAATTCGTCCGATCAAATCTGCGACAGGTTCTCGCAGCCGCAAAACAGCTGCGTATGCACAGACATCAGCTCAAGAAACAAGGATCGGTGCATAGATGATAAGTTGTATCAACCTGCGTCTTGTACAGAAGGCCGCCTTCAGCTTGCGCCTTCTGTCGTCATCATACCTTTTGAGTAGTATAATGCTCCTCCGCAAAATGAAGTACTACGTCACCAGGCTGTGATCTCCATAACTTAGAGCTCTGATGAGCTAGTGCCGTGCCCTAGCTATACACGGTAGCGCTGAATGTGTTCTTTTGACACATACATCTTGGCATTTACTATTCCAAAGACGACTTGCTGCTTTCCCATCAACTACTAGACTAAGCAACTTTTGTTCCACACGCGGTGGAAGCTATGCTGCCAGCCTCCGATCCGCTTTCGTGTGTTATCCCCTATTTCCAGTTGTGATGCTCGTCGCCCGTTCGTCAACTTCTTCGTCAATACTTGCATGAGTATAGTCTTTTTGTCACACGGCCTTTGAGGCTCCAATTGATTCATATCGTTCGCGTGTTACACATCTCTCAATTTACAGCACGCCCCTCCACGCTTGCGTCGGAAGGCCGGTCCAGAACGAAGAGTTGCATACGGATTTCAAACTACAAGCGAGACAATCTTCTCTTAAACAGCGCCTTGGCATATACGCGTCAGCTTTATTTTTTTTGTTGCGTCCCCTTTTCCAGTCATTGGAAGTTCTTTCCTGATTTGGTCCCGCACGCAATGCCATCGTCGGCTAGAGGGTCGTGTCTTGCTGCTGTACGCTGATTTTTAGGCCAAACCCAGTTGCTGCTGAGTTATCGAAACCCATCTTTTGCAAGGTTTTGTTTGACGCTACTGCTCTCTAGTCTCTCTTCCAGCACAACAGTTATTCCTTTGCCCTCCATTATGGCTCTGCAGGCTACAATGTACTCAACCTGTGCGGTTGATTAAACGATGTCAGTTTTCGTCTCGCAGCCGATGCGATCGGTCCAATAGCTATAATTAACACAAATGCAGTCACATTGCCCTTATCCGGATTGCTACCCCACTCCGCATCAAAATAATCCGTTACAAACATCTCATGTTTGTACCTTTCGAGTGCGTGATCTCCATATTTCGAGTTTTTTATAGATCCCGCATGACTCTTTCCACGCACAGCATTACAGTGCGTGTGAGCAGGGTCACTTATAAATCGACTTCGAATTGCGACAGCAACAGAAATGTAGTTTCGCGTACTGACAGCTAGGTACACCCATGATACAATCGCATCCGGTATCAACTGTATTACCATGTCCATCAGATGTTTCCGTGATCTTGATTTATCACGAATTTGTTTCCATTTGGGTTGCGTTTCGGTAAGCCGTACCGAATCCAGATCTGTCTCGGACCCCTTTGCGATATTTGGCCAACTACTTATAGCTTTCTTCATCATTCTGAATCATATGAGCAATGGTGTGATCATTCACCACCATTCTTAAAATGATGTTCGATTTCGATGACCGCAAACAGTGATAGCTTGTACATCTCTCATCTTGTCACTAGCACCGCAACAACTACATAAAGCATGAGAATGACCACTACGCCATCTCTGCGGTAGATACATGCACGGCTCAGTTTCGCAGCTTATACTTTCTTGAGAAGTCACTGTGCCATGCGTTGAGTTCCTGATTCCAACCAGATCAGACTGATGTAGGTCATCGAGGGCTCGACTCACACATTATGTCTTTTGTCATGCTTAGAAATACTCGGGAATAGTCCGGACGTACTGCCTCATCATTTATAAATCATTGAAGAAATACATATTCTCTCAGCTCCTTGAATCGCATCAGTCACTAGTTGGATGCAAGTGCTACTAGTACTCAACATCTCGACGTACGTTTAACAGGTGAGAAGGGAATGCAAAAATAATTTCCGGATCGTTATAAATCTCTAATTCCAATCTTATAGGTCAGAATATGGTAACATTTCCACCATCACGTTTCACCTGTAATGGCTACATTCAGCGTAGCATGTATGCCGTCGTTCGCCTTTCTGTCGCATCGATTCAGACGAGTACGCCCTTCGAAAACATGACGTCACGTCCTTTTCCACCCGTGTATACCACTTTTCCTTTCGAGAAGTTTCCAGAGCTTCACTAGAACTTCTTATAATTTTCACGTTCGTGATGTGCCACTGTATCTAGCAATCATCTTCTCTATTGACAATTTCGCCGACTTTCGCCTTCTATTAATCGACTGCTACCATTCAAGGAGAAAGATGATCACCATATTGGCATCACAATGTGCGTTGTTTCTTTCCTTCATTGTCTCGTTGCTGTTTCATTTCTCATACACTGATCCGTCCAGCTTCCAGCAAAGGTCTTCGCGCTTCAGTAAGCTTTTAGGAACAATGCGTGTGTCCTTCCAAATATACAAAAATCTCCAATGGTTTTAAATCTATTATACTCGATAAAAGATGTGGTTAGAATCTATGGTTTCATGCGTGAGACTTGGCGAGATTGTTGTATTTCACTTCGATAGAACAAGTAATTCTTTAATCGATACGACTCAAGATACTTTGAAGATATATTACTATCACCTCCAGTAGCTAATGCGTTTGTTTAGTTGTTCTGCTCGCCAGCGTCATTTTATCTTCGGCAACGCGTAGATTAAGTCAACGTTAAGCACTTTGGCCTCAGAAGTTATCTGCAATATGAATTTTCTATATATAATCGTTGGATGTCCAGATATCGGGTCTGATGAAAGATCACTGGCTTGCAGGTAAACTTAGAAAATCGTTTAGCTCTTCGATCTTATTGCATAAAAACGTCGCGTTGTGATCAAAATTGATGTTGCTATTTCCTATTGCATCAAGACCTAATACATATCAATGTCTGGATGTGACTCAGTGGCATTTTAAATTTCAATGCTCATGTCAGCGTCCATGGAGTCGGCAAAATCACATCGGCTACAGGTTCCTCATCCATACAGATTCCTCATCAATGTCAGTGTCTCTTTTTCCGACATATAGTCGTAGAGTAAGCGTCCTATTCGTCATTGTATCTGTATCCGTCGACAATTTTTCGTCGACAGAGGCATGCATCACGTGCTCCATGACGTGTTTTAGCTAGATAAAACCATTACACAATTATTTCTAGCTATCATCTGAGCTTAGTATACGCATGCTACGGGTCGAATTTTCGAATTTATATATTTTTCGAGTTTTTGATCATCGTATAATCTGGCGTATCTCTATTAATTCTTCCGTATGTCATTTTTTAACGGTATCCTTACCTACCACATCCTTTCAAAAATAGTTCGACGCCATAGCTGCAGACACAATTTCTTCATTATGCGAAACAGAGTTAAATGCGCTCTTCTTTATGGATACACGCGTAATTCACGCGGTACGTTTAATAAAAAGTGAATTACTTGATTCCAATGGTATGGATATGTCGCCACACTCAATAATTTCTCCTCCACCCTTTAATGCCACTTTTTAAGAAGTGCATATGGCAAACTTCCTTTCTGACCGAGTAATCTTTGATCCATCTCACATCTAAGCTATAAGTATGTCTGCAAGTGTGCAAGTGTAAAGCACACACCGCGTCATATCGGGAGTACCCATCGAACAATACTAGTACCGCCTCGTATTGCTTCGGGCTTTTGACATCCTTATGGGGCATCATATGACAAAAATTTTCCAGTTAGGTCGGAAAATTCTGGTTCAAAGATTTAATAACACAAACTACCGCTTTTTAAACACGATTACACGCTTCACAAATTGATACAGAACCGACGCTCGATGATACTACGTGCGTTTACTCTTAATTTACAATAAGTTTATTATGATGAAGGTTTATAGATGAGCCTCCCGCGCCATCTTTGTACACCGACGATTCTATCTGGGCGCGTACATTTGCGTGCGATTGTATACAGGTATGTTGCGTGGATTGACGATAATCAAGTCTTAATAGATCCGTTTCTTTTTTAAAAAAGCGTTTTAGTATAAATCGTAGATACCGTCTATCTACTATTTGGTTCGTATGTTGTTCTCAGCCGAAAATCTTTACACAATTTTTTTCACCGTTTCGGCTACGATGATTCACTTTGATACCTTGTTCTATAGCTTTTATTTATGGTAATATGACCATTTTATCCGGAGCAATAAATTTGTCATAAAATACCGCGATCTTGTCATGTAAATACCGATTCGCAAGTCTTCGTTATTTACCATGGCTAACATGCGCCTTTGTGAATTTCTTCTTGTATCCTTTTACGCAATCACTCTGCATTACATCAGATTGAATTTGTCATCAACCAAAGGTTCATTGCATATGCTACCTGATCATATTAATTATTTTAACACACCACTTCAATACTAAATGGTCGCTTCAATTATTTCTATAAACCATTTGTGGCGTTATGTCATATTATATGCTTAAATCGCTAGGTATATTTACAATAGGGATGATTCTCGCTAGCAATACTTGTTTAAATATGTTTGTCTATCCACTTGCGATCGATCAAATATTGTTTTAGATAATTCGCTTCTAAATTAAATTTCCAAAAATCAGCCTGCTTAGCATTAATACATTACTAGCCTGGGTATATAACGGGCGATTATTCCACTTCTATAACGTGACATCTTTATAGCCTTTCTCCCTCTGAAACAGTAACGTCGGTGTATATCTGCTTTTCATTGTATTTGTTTTAGCATAACAGCTGGTTTCATCGGTCGATTGCGCTCTTCTAGTGTGGCTCGCACTTGGTGTAATTGCTGAACTCGCTCCTCGCATCTTGAC